CGAGAACGAGAACCTCTAATGCATAAGTTGGTGGCTCTCACTAAGGCAAAAGACAGATTAGTTCTGATCCAATGGAGGGTTATACTGTAGTTTCGACTCCACTTGAGTGAGAGCTTGTCTGCTAATTTCTTAAGGAATTGTTGCATTTCTGTACCAATACAGCCATCAATAGTGGTGCAGAGTGGAGTAAAGCTTGCATGCCGAGATTCACAAGCACCAATATATTTGAGCTTCTTCTCCTTCTCTGCGATTCTCAATACATTTTTAACAGATTTAGAAAGATAGGACAGAGCATCTGAATCAATGACTCGAATATCAAAGACTGCTGTAGCCTGGGGCTGCCACACTCCTCGGGCACTGATGTCACCAATATGTTTTATTTTTATTTTTTATTATTTTTAATTTTTTAAAATTTATTTTATTTTATTTATGTTTTATTTTTATTTTTTATTATTTTTAATTTTTTAAAATTTATTTCATTTTATTTATGTTTTTTATTTTAATTTATTTTATTTATGTTTTATTTTATAAATTCTGTGGAAAGGTTATACAACAAAAATAAATAAATAAATGTGTTCTCTTTTAGTATAATTCTTTTTTAAAATTTTCCTTCTAGCAATTTCGTCACAGGATCATTGGATTCGAGCACAGGATGCACACGCTCAACCAACATGGCGACTACCATTACGGTCCCTACCCCAAAGCTGGGCAAACTCCAGAAAAGCTCGGCTACTCCATGTTAATTTCAGCTTCTTTTATTCTACACAGAGTGTACTTGGAGCTATTTCATTCATCTTATCTCCCCGGGGAGATTATGACTTACATCAATAGAGAAATGAATTGTGAAGATGTTGCAATGTGTATACTAGTGGCACAGTTTCTGCGTGACGTAGCTTGGCCTCAGAGTTCTGTGATATCCGTGAAACCTAGGGTACCGCTGAAAAACCTTGAGGCAACGACAGGTGAGAGAGAGAGAAAGAGGAAAGGAAAAGAAGATTGATTTACCATGTGATAAAAGTGGCTTAAATTTCTAAGTTATAGCATTTCATGAAGATTGGGCTTAGGAGAGTATTCTGCATTTATGTTGTGTAAAAGTTTTGAATTGATTCAAATCAAAATTGAAGTTGCTTAACAAGCCTATATAATGCAGTATTCATACTTTACTTCAAAGATGATACAGTTTATACAAGTACAATAGTTGATAACCACAGATAAGAGTATGAGAGTGCAACCCACAATAGCCTCACTCAAATATCAGGCTATAAAACAGTGAGGCCTTTCAAGTCTGAAATTGGTTTGTTTTTATTAATAGCACAAAAAATTTTTGAAGGGGCTACTGCCCTGCCATATTTGAACTAATTCTGGATTAAATTCAGCACTACTATTAACTACCGTACTAACGGGTTATTAAGTGCCCTTTGTTGTTAAATGCCTAGTTCTTATTAGGTGCCTAGCTCAATGTAGCTCTTAGCATGGGTTTGTTAAGTGCAGTACAAAACAGTAGGAGTCCAGACACTTTTTATAAACGTTGTGGCCACGAACAATATGTCAATAGAGTATTCTTCACCTGAGTCTTCACCACCCGCCATTGTAAAGCCAGTAAAGTGATTAATTAATTATTATTGTAAACCACACCTACTGTTTTTATTAAGCGCTGAGTCATTATTAAGCGCCCGTTTTTCTGTCATTTTCTGCATAAGCACCTACGCTTAATAACCCGTTAGTACGGTAATTGACTAATTGTTGGCCTCAAAAGTATAGAAAGTTGAAGAAAAGCATAATTGTACTGACATTAAGTGAATCAATGCAATACTGTAATTTTTTCTGATGCACATACATGTACATGTGAGGTACATGTATTTATAGCTGTGTAAAAATTTCGGATCAAAATTGAATTGTGTATCAGCATATCAGCATAGTTGATGACCACAGATAAGAGTATGAGAGTGCAACCCACAATAGCCTCACTCAAATATCAGGCTATAAAACCTTTCACTGTGTGCATTGTGTATTTGATCATAGTAGTATGTTTGCTGAGTTTACAAAATTTTTGGAGGGGCTAGTGCCCTGCCATATTAAAGTTTGAAAAATATTATAATAATAAAAGAGAATTGTATACAATTGTTATTATTATTATTATTATTATTCTTTAGGTGGTGGTCACAGAGGGCTGTCTAATCAGCTCAAGCACTACAACAAGAGGTCAGAGTGTCTCAATAAGTTTGCAGCTGCTTATGGCGGTCGGCTTCCCCTCCAATACATAACTGGGAGGATGTACAGAGAGCCTATTAAACCGTGGTACAACTTCAAACTTCAACAAATATAGATTATAATTTATCATTAAAATTTTAAATCGTCATTAATATACATGCAATTCTGTATTATTATTATTATGTATTATTATTAATATCTCTTATCTGGCATACATTAGTCTTTTTTACAATAATTATACAATAATTGTTATAAAAAAATTAAATAAAATTTTTATAAAGTTAATTAGGGTAGGCGTGGTTATTTTTACTAGCCACACCCACAATATGTTAAGATGGTTGAAAGACATATTGAGGCCATTAGGGAGGTCGCATGTGGAACTGAAAGGAACTGATCTTAATGGAAACCGATACTTTGAAAAAATAACGCCAAGTAATTAAAGGGGTGGAGCCAAATAAATAATGAATTTTAAATTATACAGGTGGTAGAGTGAGGCGATCCGTTGAATCGTCTGTAAGTAATCACAAGCATTTTAAGTATACCCAGGACTCTATACCACCGGAATGGGATAGTGAGATATTAATTGATGGGTGTGGCTTGTAATGATATGCCCCTCCCATTTTTAGGATGGCTGCGTGGCCTCACAGACACACCTCCAACAGTCAAAGTATGTATAATATGAAAGTATTTCACTAGATTGGGTTTACAAAAAGTTAATTGGAATATCATAAGAGCATCAATATTTATTTTAAAATGCAATAAAAATTGCGGATAATTTTGGAGCCATATTTTTTGGAAAGAAAAACATGGGCTATATAGTCAATGATATTTTTTTATAAATTTGACAATTTTTTAAAAATTTTAAAAATTATAATTAAGTGCACTGATCTGGTACATGTATTAATGTATGTCAATGGTTATATGGTGAAAGGACTGTATTGTGTTATTGAAGGAGACATGTAGCACTGTGTGTGTATGTATAGGATCAATTGAGACGTCTAGCAGAGATAGAGCTAATGAAGAAAAAAGTTAAAGAACTTGAAACAGCTAAAGTAAGAGGTATTATTACTATTATTATTATTATTATTATTATTATTATTATTATTATTATATTATTTTAGGATGATGGTAAGCTTTCATAAAATAAAATAATTGCATTAAATCCATTGCATCTTATATACAGTAGCTGGCGCTTTGGAACAAGGAACAGAAAGTGATGGTAAATGATCAATGCACTTCACATCATAAAATATCATTAAATCCTTTATTTTCATCACAGGTCATGCATCTTCACGTTCTTTTAGAGGACCAGCTGAAACTTCTGATGTTCCGTTGAGAAGTGGAAAAGACTTTACACCATCATCATGGAAACCAAACGACTGAATTTGTGTATAATAATAATGATTGTGTTTCTGCATTGAGTGATATTATAGGATTCTTGTAACATGCTATTTCACAATAGCACAATAGTAAAAATAATTATTATTATAATTAAAAAACTCTAAAACTTATTAAATTAAGAATTTCCTAGCAAAATATTTTAAAAAACAACAAGACGGTCACTACAAACATACAAGAAGCCATTTTTATCAAATGTTAATCCAAAAGGATTATCACACTGACTACCTTTAATTACAAAGTTACAAATAAATATACCATTACAAGTAAAGACTGATATATGCTTACTGTCACATTCACTAACATAAACTAGACCAGTAGCTGCAGTGTCTATTGTTATACCATATGGATAACTAAGCTGACCAGGACCAGATCCATAAGTACCAAACTGACCCACAAACTTTCCATCTCGAGAGAACTTCTGAATGCGATTATTATTACTATCAGTAACATACACTAATCCTTGACTGTCAATAGCAATGCCGCGTGGATACCAAAACTGTCCATTAGCTGATCCTTTACAACCAAATGAATGAGAGAAGGTTAGATCAGGATTCAAGATTTGTATACGATGATTATCCTTATCAGCAATATAAACCTGTCCTGCAAGAGAAATGGCTATACCATGAGGATACTTGAATTGTAGTGGTCCACTGCCCTCCTCACCAACTGATGCTATAAGGTATCCATCCATGCTTATCTTCTGGATCCTGTTACTATCAGATACAAGAATGAATTTGTCTGGAGTAATAGCTACACCACGAGGACAAGAAAACTTGACATCACTACTTCCTCCTTTCCCTCCTAATGATTTCAATTTCTTTCCTTCTCTATCCAGTATTGTTACACAGTCATCATTACGATCAGTTATTATAACATGATTATCATCATCATTTACAGCAACTCCACAGGAGCCATTAAGCTCAGAATTTATAGTAATATATAGTGGACGTGGATTAATGCTGTCACTCAGGTAAGGATTGAAAGGGACTAATAGTGAGGTATCCTCAAGGTGTACATCATATGCTTGTACTTTTACTGTATGAATACCACGTGTTGAAAGGTTACACTGTATCCTATACACTCCAGGATCAGTGCTGGTGGTAGTGACTGTAGTGTGATCATGAATGCATGGTTTGCCTTTTACTGGTACTAGACTACACCTCAGAGAAGAGACGGGAACACACAAAACAGATGAATCTGGTGCCTCAATTGATAGTGAAAATGAAAGTTTTTTCTCTTTTGGTAGACGTTCAAAAAAACCAACTTTCTTCACTCTACACTGCTGTAGTGCAGTAGAGGTCACAATATCTCCAATGTGATGAAGCGATTTGATATCTTTACTCAATACAAAATCAGCTTTTTCCTTTGGATGTAACTCCTCCACATTAATCCCTCCAGTAACTTCACTCATATGCTCCATCATCTGTTTCTTAGACCTCAGGACTTGTTGAGAACTGCCTGTCTTCAGACTCTGTTCCACATAATCTTCAACATCCTCCAGAAGACTCAAACTCTTTTCTGCTAATTTCATTTGCTCTGACAGCACCTTTAGTTTATCATCAGTGATCCTCTTTACCTGCTTAGTCAGTTTCCTCTCTGACTGACAAAGAACATTCATCATTTCCTCCACCATTTCATGTATTTCTTCTAAGACTCCTTCTCCTCTCTCTCTGATCTCACCCTCTCTCTCTACTAGAGCAGACAGGACCTTCTTAAGTCCTTCAATTTTCCCTTTTACCGGGTTAAGAGATTTCTCCAGTGCTTCTTTGTGTTTAGTAAAACTATCAGCTATTAGGTTATACTTGTGATCTTTATGAGCCAGCATAATACAATCACGACAGATAGATTCATCACATGTGTCACAGTAATACTTCAATGGCTCATCATGACTTGGTATGGGACAAATGAGAGGTGCCTCCTGTTTAGCTGGAGCTAGTAATTGAGAAGTAGAAGAGACATCAGAGGCTGTCACCTCATCAAGACTTGTCAGCTGATGGTTAGCAAAAAGAGCCCATTTCTTGTGGGTAGAGATACATTCTGTACAAAGGAATTGACTGCAGTCTTTGCAGTATCCGGTGGCATCAGCTGTAGTACAGTTGTCACAGGTGACCTGTTGAGGATTAGCTACTTTCTTCATTAGACTGTATATCTCTTTGAGGTTGTTTACATGAAATGCTACAGGAAAGGCTCCTACTCCTTCTTCTGGTAACTCTGTACAATGACGACAAGTGGGACAAGAGAGGTAATTGGTCTCATTCTTCCTATCCAGAGGTAATCCCTCCAGACAGTGCTCACAGAATGAATGTAGACAAGGTAAAGTCTTAGGATTGGTATAGTGGTCAAGACACACAGGACAGGTGAGCTGTTCCTCCAGTTTGAGGAGACCAGGAGAAGAAGATGAAGATGGTTTGGTCGAGGGTTCGGTTGCCATTTTGTACGTGAGAACAAAAAGTAAACAGTGAGTCCACTAGCACTGACCAGACAACCGTGACAACGCCCTAATGATGCCAGCCTACACAGTGATTGAATCATGAATGATGTCAGTCCTGATCCAGCCTAAGGCATCCTGAATCATGAATTTTGAGCAGCTAATATGACAATGAGCTAGCTCTGGATCAGCCTTGATACAGTTATGCTGGAATTCATACTAGTCAGCCAGAGCAACATGCATGATTCAGCAATGATACTTGTCAATACTGTAATCAGGCTCGATTCATTGATTTTGGGCAGTGTTTTGTATCATACATGCTAACTCTTGGCAGCGTACACAGCTTAAATCAGCAATATTGCCCAACATTAATGAATCAAGTACTGATACAGTCCTGAAAAGTAGTCTATCTTTGCTGATCATGTCTGTTGCTCTGGCCTGAACCAGTGCAAATTCTTTTTATGATTGTGCCACAACTGATATTTTATCATGGCTGATTGCCCAAAATGCACAATTATGATACACATACAAGGAATAGAAAGTAATGGTAATCATTGCACTTTACAACATAAAATATCATTAAATCCTTTACAGGCCATGCATCTTCACGTTCATTTAGAGGACCAGCTGAAACTTCTGATGTTCCTTTGAGAAGTGGAAAAGACTTCGCACCATCATCATGGAAACCAAACGACTGAATTATATCAACATGCTATGTTGTAACATTGATTGATTGATTATTAGTCAAAATCACTATAATATATGACATTTTGTCCTTGTTTTGTGTAATAGAAATGACAATGTAAATGGAGTTCAATATGATCACAACATGCATGTACACACACACACACACACACACACACACACACACACACACACACACACACACACACACACACACACACACACACACACACACACACACTAAATAAAGGCCACTCCAATAAGATTCATAGTTTCCCAATTCCCATTACAGAGGCGGGCCTGATGCGGGTGGGCGGGTTTGTTTATTTTCATTAAATTTATTCATTATCAGCTGTATAGTAAATTGCTTGTATAATCAATGCAAAACCACAATAATGAATAGCGATGCGGGCCGGTAATGGGAAACAAGGAATCAAATTGGAGTGCCCTAATGTATGTCAATGGTTATATTGAAAGCACTGTATTGTGTTATTGAAGGAGACACGTAGTACTGTATGTGTGTGTATAGGATCAGTTGAGACGTCTAGCAGAGATAGAGCTAATGAAGAAAAAAGTTAAAGAACTTGAAACAGCTAAAGTAAGAGGTATTATTATTATTGTTATTATTATTATCTCTTATTATTATTATATTATTCTAGGATGATGGTAAGCTTTCATAAAATAAAATAATTGCATTAAATCCATTGCATCTTATATACAGTAGTAGCTGGCGCTTTGGAACAAGGAACAGAAATTGATGGTAATTCATCAAAGCACACAACATAAAATATCATTAAATCCTTTATTATCATCACAGGTCATGCAGCTTCGCATTCATTTAGAGGACCAGCTGAAACTTCTGATGTTCCATTGAGAAGTGGAAAAGACTTTACGCCATCATCATGGAAACCAAACGATTGAATTATATCAACATGCTATGTTGTAACATTGATTGATTGATTATTAGTCAAAATCACTATAATATATGACATTCTGTCCTTGTTTTGTGTAATAGAAATGACAATGTAAATGGAGTTTATGTTATATGATCACAACATGCATGTACACACACACACATTAAATGGATGCCAAACTAAGATTAATGATCACAAAATGATTCTTGCAAGTTTTTCCGTCTCCAGTATAGTGGACACCAACTGGGACCCACTGGGTTCTATGAGCGATACAGAGCTCCGCCCATTAGGACACACCCCCTTTTTCTGACAAAAGAAATACTTGTCTAAAACCAGTTCTTTAAATTTTTCGGTAGAAGTAGAGTCCCACACTGTGCCCTCAATAGGGGCTACCCCTATAATAAGTAGTATTAATTAGTTTAAGATATTTTAGATAAAAAGTACATGTACATGTACATTCGTTACCATGGAGAGAGGCAGAAATCCCTTGAGACGGAAGTTGTAGAAATTCTTTTGATAATTGTTTAATCCCGTCACTCGAAGTTTTTATCATTTCTTCATCTCCGTAATCCAGGTGACGAACTGGGACCTCCTATCAGTGTAAACCACACCCACTTATAATTAGACAACCCCCAACAAAATATTAATAATAATACACATACGACTCATTAAAAATAAGAGAAACATATAATTTTTAATTTCAAAGCTAGTTTGTAAAATTTCTTTATTTTTCAAGGTAACTTAATGCATTATTGTTGTTTCTATGGCAACACAAACCCCACCCACCTCAATTAAATTATCTCCTTCCTGTCTGAGGCTGACAGTGTCCAGTAAGAGGCTCCTGTACCAGCACTCGTCACTGGATAGGGAGGATACTACTAGTCCTGATTGCAGTCTTGATACAGGCGGAGCTGTAATGCTGAACTGCTGGAGTGATTGCTGCAATGAAGTTAGGGCATCAGAACTATCACACAACTGAACCTGGAGATAATGATAATAGGAATAATCATGAAAGGTATTGTAACTTGAAAAATTTAAGTCAGAATTGACTCAAACTTTTTACATAGCATAAGTACATTAATATGTATCAGAAAATGTAATAAAAATTGGGGGTGATTTTTGAGCCATTTTTTGGAAAAAACCATGGGCTATATTATAGTACAGGGATTTTTTCAGATTTTGGCCAATTTATAAAAATGGTCATAACTTGAACAATTAAAGTCGGAATTAGCTCAAACTTTCTACATAGCATAAGGGCATCAATATGTATCAAAAAATGTAATAAAAATTTGGTGTAATTTCGGAGCCATTTTAAAGAAAAAACCATGGCTATAGTACAGGGATTTCTTCATAATGTACATGTACTTACTGTAAATTCATTAGGAGAAATACAGCTTGATACATAAACAAGTGCTGGCTCATCAGGCAACTGAACTGAAGGACAATCATTAATTGTAATGGAATAAGAAGGAAAGAATTCTGTGTGCTTGAGTAGCTCCTCATTAAGTGATACACCATCAGCAAATAATATACACTCAGAAGCTGAGACCATCTGAAAGAAAGAGAGAGAGGAAGAAATAATAAAATAGTACAAGCAAAATTAAAAACTAGAATATATGTATATGTTCATGTGCATGTACAGACCAGCCTCTACATAATGGACACTTTGGCATTAAAAAGTGTCTCTGTTATACAGAGGTGTCCTTTATGTGGAGGTTATTTTATGCAGTAAGGAATGTAATTGGTACACTAGGTGCTGTCCATTAAATGGAGGTGTACGCTATAGAGAGTGTCCATTAAGAGAGACTATACTGTACACATAATGTATGTACAATCCTCATACTTGTAATGTCAGTCTTGTATCAACATATTCATTAAGCCATAAAGTTGCTTCATTACTCCACCCACACTATTAATAAAAAATGAATTAATAAATAAGTTAATAACTAATTACATGAGGGGGTGGTACATCCTTCAATTGTGCTGACAATGCTTGGCTCGGTAATTCAAAAAGTGGATGTGGCAATGGACTCTTGAGATCTTTAGCCTCAACACTAAGGTAGTTCCCGTAATCAACAAACAAGACGGTCGCCTAAATAAAAATAAAACCACACCCAGTTCATGAGGTCTTACCGTTCCATCTTCCTTAAGGTCTAGAACTTGAACCCTGTACCAGTCCTCGCTGTATTTGGCACAACAGACCACACCCAATTCGGGTTTAAAGGGTGTGGAATCAACCTAAAAACAATAACAATACAAGAACTTATTATCTGTAACATTTACCTTTAAAATTTTGATAAAATAACATTGATAAAATACATGTACGTGTTACCTTTTCGTCGTTGCCATAGTGATCATTAATCAACTCGTTCAATTCGTCCAGTTTCAAAGTGCCCCGCCCCTCAATATGAACCACTATCAGTCCAGGGATTAGAATACCAATATCACGTAGAATCACACTCACTGGAGCTCCGCCCACCTAATTAATACTCATTAATTAATGAATATGAATATACTTACTGGTGGTAATGAAGGTTTTAATGAGTTTATGGGATATACAAGATCTTCAATGACGTTATTAATATTAGTGTCATCAATTGATAGTTGAACCGTGTAATGGTCCCCTGACCTAATGTCACATGACATCAAATAAAAAAATAATTCTCATAATTATAGTAACTCCCTCCATCCATCCCTCTCTCTCTCTCTTACTTGCTCTTCACTTGACATGTACAAAGTTTCTCAAAAGCCAACTCTTCAAACTTATCGTTAGCAGTTTCAGTCTCTGACAACAAACCATCCAACCTACACTGAACACCCTGTAGATAATAATAATAAAGAATCAGTAAATGAGGCTTACAGACTCAATCAATTTGCAAATACACACACAGACACACATATACCCTTGTGCATATGGCTTGTTTTTATTTATTTATTCATTAATTTATTCTTGTGGCAACAATAACTGCTTAAACCATAAATGTAGTAGAGGGATAAAGTTAGCCTGTTGAAAACTGAAAAGCTCCTCTAACTATTCAACAGGCTAACTTATGATTGATGAGTAAAACTATAATACATGGCTTCGCTCCTCCCATGATTTGAAACACCTACATATAGATATCCAAAGTTGTAAAAGTTAACTTATTTTCTTGGATAACTTTGCTGCGTGAAACGTGATCAATAATGAATTAATGAAAATAAGAATAATCTTTATCTAATAAACAACAAGTCGGCTATTACTAAAATCACAAACATACAAGAATCCATCTTTATCAAATGCTAATCCATAAGGATCATTAAACTGATCAATATCACTGCCTTTACTTCCAAACTTACTAACAAACGCACCATCACTAGTGAAGACTGATATACAATTATTGCCAATATCACTAACATACACTAGACCAGTAGCTACAGTGTCTATTGCTATACCCATTGGTTTATTAAGCTTTCCAGAAACAAACTTTTTATGACTAAAGTGACCCACAAATTTTCCATCTGGAGAGAACTTCTGAATGCGATGATTATCACTATCAGCAACATACACTAATCCTTGACTGTCAATAGCAATGTCACGTGGATACTTAAACTGTCCATTAGCTGATCCTTCACTACCAAATGAATGAGAGAAGGTTAGATCAGGATTCAAGACTTGTATACGATGATTGCCCCTATCAGCAATATAAACCTGTCCTGTTATAGGAGAAATGGCTATACCAGCAGGATACTTCAGATGTAGTGGTCCACTGCCCTCCTCACCAACTGATGCTATAAGGTCTCCTACCATGCTTATCTTCTGGATTCTGTGATTACTATCAGATACAAGAATGAATTTGTCTGGAGTAATGGCTATACCACGAGGAAAAGAAAACTTGACAATATCACTTCCTCCTTCCCCTCCTAATGATTTCACTTTCTTTCCTTCTCTATCCAGTATTGTTACACAGTGACCACGTAGCTCAGTTACTATAACATGATTATCATCAGTTACAGCAACTCCGCAAGGAGCCATAAGCTCAGTTATAGTACGTACTGGAGTGATGTTATCAAGGTAAGGATTGAAAGGGATGACTAGTGAGGTATCCTCAAGGTGTACATCATATACTTGTACTTTTACTGTATGAGTACCACTGGTTGAAAGGTTACACTGTATCCTATACACTCCAGGATTAGTGCTGGTGGCAGTGACTGTAGTGTGAATGGGTCGATCACCTTTACCAACTGGTACTAGACTACACCTCAGAGAAGAGAGGGGAACACACAAAACAGATGAATCTGGTGCCTCCATTGATAGTGAAAACGAAACTTTCTTCTCTTTTGGTAGACGTTCAAAGTAACCAACTTTCTTCACTCTACACTGCTGTAGTGCAGTAGATGAGTAGCTCACAACATCTCCAATGTGATGTAGTGATTTGATATCTTTACTCAATACAAAGTCGGCTTTTTCCTTTGGTTGTAACTCCTCCACATTGATCCCTGCAGTAACTTCACTCATAAGCTTCATCATCTGTTTATTTGATCTCAGGACTTGTTCAGGACTGCCTGTGTTCAGACTCTGTTCTACATCATTCTCAACATCCTCCAGAAGACTCAAACTCATTGCTGCTGATTTCATTTGCTCCGACAGCACCTTTAGTTTAGCATCAGTGACCCTCTTTGCCTGCTCAGTCAGTTTCCTCTCTGACTCACGAAGAACATTCATCATTTCCTCTACCATTTCATGTATTTCTTCTAAGACTCCTTCTCCTCTCTCTCTGATCTCACCCTCTCTCTCTGCTAGAGCAGACAGGACCTTCTTGAGTGCTTCCTTCTTTCCCTCAACTGGTGATAAACATTCTCTTAACTTTTGACAATGTTTAGTATAACTGTCAGTGATTAAGTTATATTCATGATGTTTGTGATCATGAGCTAAGCAGTTTACACAAATTACTGAATCACAAATTTCACAGAATAGCTCCAAAGGCTTTCCATGATCACTACATGTGGCCTCTTGAAGATTTGCTAATCTAAGACTGTACATCTCATTGAGGGTGTTGAGAGTGAATGCTACAGGAAAGGCTCCTGCTCCTTCTTCTGGTAACTCTGTACAATGGCGACAAGTGGGACAAGTGACGTAATAGGTCTTATTTTTCTTTTCCACAGGTAATCCTTCCAGACAGTGTTCACAGAATGAGTGATGGCAGGGTAGAATCTTAGGGTTGGTATAGTGGTCAAGACACACAGGACAGGTGAGCTGTTCCTCCAGTTTGAGGAGACTAGGAGTTGGTTTAATTGCCATTTCAACAAAATAAAATTGTTTATGCAAAGCAAGAACAAAAATGAACTGAGAAAAGATAAAGGTAGAAGACAACTTTAGTTGATGCTAACTTGTGGTTGACCTATGATGTTGTAAAGCAAGATGGTAATTTGATGAAGATAGAGGAGAAATGAACAATAAGAAAAAGAAGAAAGAGACAAAGGCAACGAAAACAAAGGAGAAGATTGATAACAAAAGAATTGGCTGTTAGCCACTAAAGCCTTGTGACTAAAGGAAGTTGAGTGCATTACCATGCCAACTTTACGCTATTGCTATACTGCCTTATTCGTCATAAAGTAAGGGCAATACAAAATTGTATGAGAAATCTATTGACAACAAAAAGTAAGTACACAGCTAGGCTATACAGAAACTGTTAATATAGGAAAAGAGGCATCCATCTATGATTGTACAGTTGTAACTATATAGCACCAAAGGAAACTATTCAAATAGCATCAAAGGAAACCATTCAAACCAAGTCCTTGTTTAGCTTCCAGCCCTACCTATAGAACTAATCCCTGAACATTTTACAGTATAAACTATCTATTCCATCATAGTTAAATAATCCTACTTACTTATTTAATTAACATGATTTCTCTAAAAGAGATCCAGTCATTTCTTAGAATATAGTATATACACTATTAATGTCATATTCTAACTTTCTAAGAATAAGAAAGCATCACTAAAAATGCATTATTGCACTATTTTATTTACTATCATAACTTCCTTTAGATTCACTGCTATCCTAAGAGGTCATCAGGGCTACTTTGTTTCATTCTTCTGCTCCATTTTGTTCTTGCTCATTCTGACTTCATTTTCTTATCGTTTGTTCTTGCTCTATCTTCATTTACAGTCTTCTACCTTTATCTCTCTTTATTTTTTGTTCTTGCAATTTTATTCTTTTCTTTAAATGGCAACCAAACCATCTTCTGGTCTCCTCAAACTGGAGGAACAGCTCACCTGTCCTGTGTGTCTTGACCACTATACCAACCCTAAGACTTTACCTTGTCTACATTCATTCTGTGAGCACTGTCTGGAGGGATTACCTCTGGATAAGAAGAATGAGACCTATTACCTCTCTTGTCCCACTTGTCGTCATTGTACAGAGTTACCAGAAGAAGGAGCAGGAGCCTTTCCTGTAGCATTCCACCTCAACAACCTCAAAGAGATACACAGTACTATGAAGAAGACAGCAGCAGTTTTGCCAAATCCTCAAGAGGCCATATGTAGTGATCATGGAAAACTTTTGGAGCTGTTCTGTGAAACATGTAATACAGTAATCTGTGTTACTTGTCAATTTCACAATCACAAACATCATAAATATAGCTTAATCACTGATTGTTATACTAAACACTGTCAAAAGTTAAGAGAATGTCTGTCACCAGTTGAGAAAAAGAAGGAAGCACTCAAGAAGGTCCTGTCTGCTCTAGCAAAGAGAGAGGGTGAGATCAGGGAGAGAGGAGAAGGAATCTTAGAAGAAATACATGAAATGGTAGAGGAAATGATGAATGTTCTTCGTCAGTCAGAGAGGAAACTGACTGAGCAGGCAATGAGGGTCACTGATGCTAAACTAAAGGTGCTGTCAGAGCAAATGAAATCAGCAAAAAAGAGTTTGAGTGTTCTGGAGGATTTTGAGAATGATGTGGAACAGAGTCTGAAGACAAGCAGTCCTCAACAAGTCCTGAGGTCAAATAAACAGATGATGGAGCGTAAGAGTGAAGTTATGGCAGGCAATGTGGAGGAGTTACATCCAAAGGAAAAGGCCGACTTTGGATTGAGTAAAGATATCAAATCGCTACATCACATTGGAGATATTGTGACCTCTACTGAATTACAGAAGTGTAGAGTGAAGAAGATTGATTGCATTGAGCGTTTACCAAAGAAGGTGTCTTTTTCACTATCAATGGAGGCACCAAATTCATCACTTTTGTGTGTTCCCGTCTCTTCTCTGAGGTGTAGTCTAGTACCAGTTGGTAAAGGTGATCAACCCATTCACACTACAGTCACTACCACCATCACTGATCCTGGAGTGTATAGAATACAGTGTAACCCTTCAACCAGTGGTGCTCATACAGTAAAAGTACAAGTATATGATGTACAACTTAAGGGTACCTCATTAGTCATCCCTTTCAATCCTTACCTTGATAACATCACTCCTTTAGATATGAGGGAATTTGATGGTCCTTGTGGAGTTGCTATGAGCTTTGATAATCTTACAATAATAACTGAGTTTAGTAGTAACTGTGTAAGGCTAGATGGAGAAGGAAAGAAGTTAGGAGGGAAAGGAGGAAGTGGTCATGTCCAATTTTCTTCTCCTCGTGGTGTAGCCATTACTCCAGGCAAATTCATTCTTGTGTCTGATAATCACAGGATCCAGAAGATAAGCATGGATGGATACTGTAAAGCATCAGTTGGTGAGAAGGGCAGTGGACCACTACAACTTAATACTCCTTGCGGTATAGCCATTTCTCCTATAACAAGACAGGTTTATATTGCTGATAGTGGTAATCATCGTATACAAGTCTTGAATCCTGATCTAACCTTCTCTCATTCATTTGGTAGTAAAGGATCAGCTAATGGACAATTTAAGTATCCACGTGACATTGCTATTGACCGTCAAGGATTGGTGTATGTTACTGATATTGATAATCATCGCATTCAGAAGTTCTCTCCAGATGGAAAGTTTGTCGGTCAGTTTGGTACTAAAGGATCTGGTCCTGGACATCTTAATAAGCCAATAGGCATAGCAATAGACACTGCAGCTACTGGTCTAGTGTATGTTAGTGAAGATGGCAATAATCGTATATCAGTCTTCACTAGTGGTGGTGTGTTTGTTAACAGCTTTGGAAGTAAAGGCAGTAATACTGGTCAGTTTAGTAGTCCTAGTGGATTAGCATTTGACAAAGATGGATTTTTGAAAGTCTGTGATTTTAAAAATAAGCGACTTGTAATGTACTAATTTATGATTACTATTTTGAGTATTATTTTTCATTAATTATTTAAAATACAAACTACATTGGCATATAATTAAATTGGAGTTGCCAAGAGAAGCGCAAATGAGTGAAAATGCCAATATGGTAGATGGACCAAGAGCAAAATTCTTATGTGGCTTCCTTGATAAATTACAATGAATGTGTTCAAAAATGGTTCACCATGCAAGAGTTGAAGCAAGATCTTTACACATTTATAAAATTTTTACTATTTAGCATTTAAACATATACATGTAACTCTAAAAACTATAAATGCACTTAAGTAATAATAATAATAAAATTAGAACAATTCCTTGTTTATTTTCATGGCCCAAATGCAAACAGCCAGTAAAATACATTATTTTGTATCTGCATTTCTTGTATTTTAATTTTTATTAAACATAATCAATAAAAATCAAATTAAAACAAACAAATATAATAAACAACAAGTCGATTATTATACTTATTACAAACATACAATACTCCATCTTTATCAAATTCTAAACTACAAGATTTATTAAAATGATCAATATCACTGCCATAATTTCCAAACCTACTAACAAACACTCCATCACTAGTGAAGACTGATATAAAGGTTAAAAGACTGAACACCCTATTAAAGTAGTAAAATAAGGACCAGAAGTGAATCTGTCTGTTTTTTGTAAAGGCATTCTACGTGTATCTTTACTTTTAAAAATTAAATAACCTAATCTTCACCGAAATCAGGTGAAATAAAATGGTGCCATCAAAAGGGAGCAAATCTTATGATTTTATTTACAGCAAACGGTCAATCAAACTGAACTGATGACGTGCAGCAGTAAGAGAGGTTAAGAAAGTAAATTTAAATCTAATAAAACTCTGATCTTTGAAACCTGTAAAAACTAGCTATAGAGCTGCTACATTTGTGCAGTGACAGTTTCTACCTTAATGGTTGCAGATGATGTAAGATGGGTACCGTATAAGAGGTTTCTTCAAGGGAAATATATTTTGCAAAATCTACTTGAATCCCAATTTGCAGATTTTAATTTTGCAACTTCTACTACATGCCATGCGGGTACCGTATTAAATTGATTTTCGCAAATCAGGAAGGAATTCGATAATTTGTGAAATTCACAACCCTAATAAAAAACACTTATACAGTAACTTTATTCTTGAGAACTGTCAAGAACTAGCTCCAAATTTGCATTCAAAATTCTACTGTACCTAAACATGTATACACATACATCTATACTTTGATTACTTGGGCTTGCCCCCTCAATGTTTTACATCCGTCTAGTTACAAATGTATCTTAACTTGTCTAAATCAACCTCAAACTGTAAAAAAATTAATAATTAATAGACAAAAATTTCATTAGCAGTAGAGTTACAAACATAAAAAAATCCATCTTTATCAAATGCTAATCCACAAGGAAGATTATCTTCCCCTCCAAACTTCCTAACAAACACGCCATCACTAGTGAAGACTGATATACGATTATTGCCTCCTTCACTAACATACACTAGACCAGTAGCTGCAGTGTCTATTGCTATACCTATTGGCTCTTTAAGCATTCCAGAGCCAAATCTTTTATTGCCAAAATGACCCATAAACTTTCCATCTGGATAAAACTTTTGAATGCGATGATTATAAGTATCAGTAACATAAAGTAATCCTTGACAGTCAAAAGCAATGTCGAATGGAGACTTAAACTGTCCATTAGCTGATCCTTCACTACCAAATGAATGAGAGAAGGTTAGATCAGGATTCAAGACTTGTATACGATGATTATCCCTATCAGCAATATAAACCTGTCCTGTTATAGGAGAAATGGCTACACCAGAAGGATCATTAAATTGTAACGGTCTACTGCCCTCCTCACGAACTGATGCTATAAGGTCTCCATCCATGCTTATCTTCTGGATCCTGTGCTTATCAGATACAAGAATGAATTTGTCTGGAGTAATGGCTACACCATGAGGAGAAGAAAACTCAACATTACCACTTCCTCCTTCCCCTCCTAATGATTTCACTTTCCTTCCTTCTCTATCCATTATTGTTACACAGTGACCACCATACTCGATTACTACAACATGATTATCATCAGTTACAGCCACTTCCCAGGGACACTTAAGCCCAGTTATAGTACGTACTGGAGTGATGTTATCAAGGTAAGGATTGATAGGGATGACTAGTGAGGTATCCTTGAGGTGTACATCATATACTTGTACTTTTACTGTATGAGTACCACTGGCTGAAGGGTAACACTGTATCCTATACACTCCAGGATCAGTGCTGGTGGTAGTGACTGTAGTGTGAATGGATTCATCACTTTTATCAACTGGTACTAAACTACACCTCAGAGAAGAGACGGGAACACACAAAACAGATGAATCTGGTGCCTCTATTGATAGCGAAAACGAAGCTGCTTTGCCAGCAGGTGTAATACGATCAATCTTCTTCACTCTACACTGCTGTAGTGCAGTAGATGAGTAAGTCACAATATCTCCAATGTGATGTAGTGATTTGATATCTTTACTCAATACAAAGTTGGCCTTTTCCTTTGGATGTAACTCCTCCACATTGATCCATGCAGTAACTTCACTCATACGCTCCATCATCTGTTTTTTAGACCTCAGGACTTGTTGAGGACTGCCTGCCTTCAGACTCTGTTCCACATAATCCTCAACTTCCTCCAGAAGACTCAAACTCATTTCTGCTGATTTCATTTGCTCTGACAGCGCCTTTAGTTTAGCATCAGTGACCCTCTTTGCCTGCTCAGTCAGTTTCCTCTCTGACTGACGAAGAACAGCAATCATTTCCTCTACCATTTCATGTATTTCTTCTAAGACTCCTTCTCCTCTCTCTCTGATCTCACCCTCTCTCTCTGCTAGAGCAGACAGGGCCAGACAAACTGCTTCCTTCTTTCCCTCGACTGGTGATAGACATTCTCTTAACTTTTGACAGTGTTTAGTATAACTGTCAGTGATTAAGTCAGATCCATGACCTTTGTGATTACGAAATTGACAGGTAACACAAACCACCATGTTGCATGTTTCACAGAATAGCTCCAAAGGCTTTCTATGATCACTACACATGGCCTCTTGAGGATTTGGCAAAACTGATGTCTTCTCCATCGCACTGTGTATCTCTTTGAGGTTGTTGAGGTGGAATGCTACAGGAAAGGCTTCTGCTCCTTCTTCTGGTAACTCTGTACAATGACGACAAGTGGGACAAGAGAGGTAATAGGTCCCATTCTTCTTATCCAGAGGTAATCCCTCCAGACAGTGCTGACAGAATGAATGTAGACAAAGTAAAGTCTTAGGGTTGGTATAGTGGTCAAGACACACAGGACAGGTGAGCTGTTCCTCCAGTTTGAGGAGACCAGGAGAAGAAGATAAAGATGGTTTGTTTGCCATTTAAAGAAAAGAATAAAATTGTGTACGCACAACAAGAACGAAAAATGAAGAGAGATAAAGGTAGAAGACGGTAAATAAAGATAGAGCAAGAACAAACAATAAGAAAATGAAGAAGCTAGAACGAAACAAAGACAGCCCTGATGACCTCTTTTAAAGATATTCATAAGTTCTATTGACCAAAGGAAGTTATGATATAGTAGTAAGTGATGCTATCTGAGTATCTTATTTTTTAGTATTTGACATTAATAGTGCACAATACATAAAATTGTAAAAAATAATCCCAAGTAGAAAGAATATGGTATAACATTAAGGCCTGGTTTACAAGACGCTAGCCTAATCTGCATCGTTTTTGCTATGACTGTTTTCAGGTGTTTACACTAATCCAGCAGCTGCTTTTTTATTGGACTTTATCATTCGTTTATAGAGTTATCCATTTTGGTATTCGTTTTTCTTTTCTTTGGATTTGATATGCGTTTTCTTGTGTTTTAGTTTTACTTTAAAACGTAGTCGTGTAAACCAGGCCTAAATGTGTAGGTCATACAATATGGTAGCACTAAATGTACATTTCATGAATACATCAATGATGCTTTTGCAATACATGTACATGTACACATACATGTACATGTACATGCTACACTTACTTGAAAAGGTAGTGTATAGAATTCCTTAGGCAACTCCCTCAACTGATTGATCTCAACCAGTTCATAATTACCATAATCAGGGTAACACACATGCACCCTCCCTTCACTGGTCAAACCAGTCAGACCGGCTACTGATACCAGTTTAGTGCGGCACCATGAACCATCCTCCCAACACAATGCATACAGACGCTCAGGGTTCAATTTTTTGGGAGGAGCTACAAAAAGTGAAACCACAAATAATTGTATAGCTAGTACTTCGTACTTTTATACTATACATGTATATGTAGTTTATGCATACTTACTGCTTTTAAAATAATAATAATAATAATAATACATGTACATGTTAAATCAAGCATTATTCTATTAATTTCAATAAAAATATCTTGTTATCATTCATTATCATCATCATTATTATTATTGAATACATTATTATTTATTATTATTATTATTATTGAATACATTATTTATTATTATTATTATTATTACTATTATTATTATTTACCATGTTTATTTTCATTAAAGTGTTCATATATTGAATCCTCTAGTCTTTGGAGTGCTTCAGTGGTTGATGGTGAATTATGTTGTACATAAAAGTGAAGCAATGACTTTATTGATGCCACTAATACATAAATGCCATCTTCTGACGACAAGGGCAACTCTACAGTAGCTATTATGAAAGGAGAAAGGGAGAGATGAAAAGAAAAATATGGGAGAGACAGAGGGAGAGAATGAGAGTAAAGATTAAGTATTAGGGTATTTATTTAAAATTTTTTTACAAGGCAGTGGAGGATAATCTGTCTTTTCTTCCTTCTCCTCCTTCTTCTCTTGTTCAATTTCTTTCTTTATGGAAATTATAGGATTGCCTTCAACCGGACTATAAAATAATACAGGGTAATGGCATAAAAATACTATCAGTTTTTTTTCTAAACATCAAATTGTTGATGAAGTACCATTAACAGAAAAATATTACAATTTATTTTTAACATTACCAGTTAGTTTTCACAAAAGGCAGTTTCATTATTCTATCCAGTATAACTGATGGCTCTTCATTATAAGCCTCAGAGTATTTCTTGGCTAATACCTTACCCCACAAACCATTGGGTTTGTCTTTTAGTTCCTCTCGTAACCACTCGGCAAGAGAAGTGGGAGGAGCTATGGTAACAATTACAATCACATGATAGTCACATGATAGTCACATGATTGTCATGTGATGGGTTAAAGGCTTACCTGCAGTTGGCTTTGAAGATCTGCTGTTAGCCACTGGAGACTAAAGAGAGAGATAAATGGATATGCATGCACATAGTTTCTCTTCACTTACTTTATCTCTTGAGTTAGGGAATGCTCTCATTCCACCAGTTAATTGTGAATGGACTATCTCCCTAGCACCACCTGAAACTGAGAGGAAGAGAAAGAGGAAAGGGAAAAGAAAAGGCAATGCATATGTAATTCCTCCTCTTAAGTTTGAGCTGATTTCAATTGAAAGTGATTTTTTACCAAATTTTTTAAATTGCTCCAAAATCGGGCCAAAGTCCCTGTACTATAGTACAGTGTAGGAGGGAACTGAGCCCTTAAATAAACATTTTTTAAAAACAAAATAGATATAACACAGGGATAAATAGTAGGTTAGTACAGGGTCTCGGGCCAAATTTCGCCAAAAATGAAAAGGAGAGAATTCTTCATTTTTATAATTTTCTCTGATGCATATACATGTTCTTATGTTGTGTAGAAAGTTTCAACAAATTCTGATCAAAATTAGATTTTTTATGAATTTTTAAACTTGCTTTAAAATCGGACAAAAGTCCCTGTACTATAGTACAGGGACTTTGGTAAAATTTCGCCAAAAATTAAAAAGAGAGAATTCTCAAATTTTATAACTTTTTCTAATACATATACATGTTCTTATGTTGCGTAGAAAGTTTGAGCTGATTACAATAAAAATTGGATTTTTTTACAAATTTTTAAACTTGCTCCAAAAGCCTATGCCATGCATACTATAATCCTTATCAGTTCATAAATCGTGTTTTTAGCGGAAACCTGTACACATACATGTAACTAGTTATATCAATACTCAGTAACGTTATATTTTGAAAAATCACCTGTTACTCTAAGTGGTGGAGGAGAAGAGAGGCTTCCAGAAGGCGACATATCAAGCCTCCGATAGTAAAGAGCTCTTAATGAATGGACATATTTCTTGGGAGTGTTCCAATACTTATACTCAACAATACCCCACAGTTTAATCCTCACACCCCCTTCAGAAGGGAGGGACAGAGGATCAGGATATATCTAAGATAATTGCAAAAAGGAAAATTAATAAATTTTGTTTAAACAATTTATAATTAATCTTACATGTACATGTATTATTACATGTACATGTACATGTACGTGTATATTTAGGAGGAAATTGGCACAAAATTAACTTGGCAATTCCATCAGGATAAATATTAATCTGCTATTTGTTTTAGCCAATTACTATCTATCGTAAGTTACAACACAAATAGGGATTTGCCTGAGGCCACACCCACTAATTAACAACCCACCGACACATTCCAGTGTTTCCTGGTGAAGAAAACGTTTACATTCTGAAACTGTTTTCCTTGATTAAAGTTTCTATTGTGAAATAAGAGAACGCGAAACTGATCTCGATACTGAGTAATCTCCTTATGAAGTCCAGGGTAACCCTCCACAACAACCTAATGCAAGAACAAAATTTTTATGAGTGCAAAATTTTACTGGGCAATCTAAAATTTTTTGAAAAACTCACAATTTTTTCACGAAACTCATCTCTCGATGTAATCAGTTGAGGGATGGTGAGGAATGGGGCGTGATGTAATTCCGGGTTAAAAGGGGGAATCCCTATTACGTAATAAGGCCGTCATTGTCATAGCAACGCCATATATGGTAACGTACCTGAAGATGACTTTTCATGTGCAGGAAAACCTTTTAAAATGATTAATTAAGTATGTGGGTGGAGAATGTACACGTACTTTGACTTGGTGGAGTTTTGTTGCTTAAGAATGAGGCTCCTTCCCCTAATTAATTAATTAATATTAATGAATAATTAATTAATGTTAATGACTAATTAATTAATTAGAAACATTAGTACATGCATTAACACATGTAATGTTAACAGCTGTAGTCAATTTGAATCAACTCCATATGTGGGCACAAAATCACCAAAAAAAAAAACAAACTTAACTTAATTTGCTTAAAATTTTGCTTTTTTCAAATGTACCCATTCTTATTATTAAAAATAAATTAAAAAATAGTAATAATAATGACGTACTTTGTTGCTGAAGACTAAATTTTGAACTTGGCAAAGACTGGGATTTTATACTAGCAGAAGAAATTAGAGGAGGAGGAGATGAAGGAGAAAGTAGAGGAGGAGGAGGAGGAGAAGGGAGACAAGAAAAAATAAGAGGAGGAGGAGAAGAAGGGAGTACGGGGGAAAGAGAAAGACAGCACGGGGGGAAGAGAGAAAGGGGAGGATTCGAGAGAGGGAGAAAAAACGGAGAGGGAAGGAGAGCAGGCCGTGATAAACTTTAATAAAATGACACACAGTTCCAACACAAATACATACTTACATTGGCTGCCCGTAAAGCGGTCTTCTAACTGGCCGATTTGCCCGCCTACGAGGCCCAACCATCGCCATATGCCGGGAGATGCTAGGCGGTGGCCGGGCCGTGCTTGCCTTGCGTAACTTTGAAAGACTCGGCTTTTTCTGACGAGCAACCAAACTGGCAACATGCTGGGTTTCCTGAGTCGCCACTACATAATAGGTAGGCTCTCCAGTGGGGCCGATACCGGATCTGAGGACGTCTGGGTGGTCACGGGCGAATTCATCCATGTTTGAATATCCCAGCTGTCTCAATGGTGGATCAGAGCCGATCATACTCCTGTAGTCTTTAGCAAAAGCTCTTTTTAGGACGCCCAGGGGCGCAGAGAGGAGTATGGAGCGCGTGTCGACTTTGAATCGCTCCAAAAGTTTTTGCCTTTCGTCCCCTGAAGACATTTTAGGCTTTGCTGTACTACAGTCTAGTCAGCCACGTTTGTAGTAGGTGTGGTTGGCTAGATTAAGTGGGCGGAGCTCTTTAATATTTGACCCACGTGAGAGCACGTGGGGAAAACCCCACGTGCCAACACGTGGGTAATTTGTAGTAGGTGTGGTTTGGTTATTACATAGAAAATGGCTGGCAAGAGATCTAGCAAAACTCGTGACTGTAGGTGTATATTTCCTTCATATTGAATTAAATTCCATTCCTTCAGGGGCAGACTATCAAGAGAGATCATCAAGCCCTAAAAGATTAGCTGTAAGATTGAAATCTATTGAATTCAAAATTATTTTAATATTTTTGATATGTAGATTGATACTGAAATATCAAGTAAGTTGCTCTTTCATTGTTAGTAATTAATTTGATTGATTACCCATTAAATTTTATTTGTCATTCTCTCAATTTTAGAAGACGTTCCGAATTCTGCGTCGGCTAACATTAGCACCTCTGGAGCAGCTCCTTGCGTAAGAAAGGATGTGGTTTAAGTCATGTGACTATCACATGATCATAGGATGAATACGGAGCTAAAGACTACAGTGTGTTACTGACACTTAAACTTGATCACAGCACACGCCCACTTTGGGTGGTAAGTTGATAATTAATTAATTAATAATGATAATAATAATAATGACTGATGTATTCAGGGGAAAATTTGTGTCACTATTTTAAAAGACACATGAGCTAAACTCATATCTTTTTTTATTCTTTAAAATAGACAAATTTTATTCATTTTTGTACAATATTTTCCCCTTCTCTCTCTTTTTCATAGGCTCCTGATGGTCATATATTTCTGGAGTCCTTCTCTCCAGTGTATCGACATGCAAGGGACTTTCTGATCGCTATAGCTGAGGTAAAACCCGCCCATATACATGTACATGTACATGTAATCAATTAATATTAACCACACCTTCTCTCTCTTAGCCTGTGTGTCGTCCGGAGCATATACATGAGTTTCAGTAAGGGGATGCCCCTGTTTTTATTATTATAATTAATTGAATTTGTGTTGTTAGGTTGACTTCATATTCTTTGTATGCAGCTGTATCTGTAGGACTACAAGTAATTATTTATTTATTAATAATTATATTGATGTACTTATGCTATGTAGAAAGTTTGAGCTGATTCCGACTTTAATTTTTCAAGTTATGACCATTCTAAAAAATAGACCAAAACTTGAAAAAATCCCTGTACTATAGCCCATGGTTTTTTCAAAAAAATGGCTCCGAATTGACCCCAATTTTTTATTACATTTTCTGATACATATTGATGTACTTATGCTATGTAGAAAGTTTGAGCTGATTCCGACTTTAATTTTTCAAGTTGTGGCCATTTTTAAAAATTGGCCAAAATCTGAAAAAATCCCTGTACTATAGCCCATGGTTTTTTTCAAAAAATGGCCAAAAAATCACCCCCAATTTTTTACATTTTCTGATACATATTGATGTACTTATGCTGTGTATTATTATATTAGACTGAGAATATCATTCACTATCTCTCGGTGTTGAGCAAGACCACAATACCACCTGGTATAGTTGAATATATAAAGGTAAATATATACAGCAATTTGCAGCTGTAGACATGTACAATGTACATGTACATGTATAATCATACCTACAATACCTATACAGTCAAACCTGCTATTGTGGACACTCAAAAATAAGGACACCTCTATAATGAGGACAGGTAGTATCAGTCCCAATACAATAGTAATGTGTATTAATGAACCTCTGAAATAAGGACACCTCTTTAATAAGGACAGTTTTATTGGGTCCCAAGGTGTCCGGAATAGACAGGTTTGACTGTAATCACTTGATTATAGACTATTGATTTCTGATAATAATTAGATATTTTACTCTCTCTCCTCTCTCTCCTTCATATTAGTTGTGTACATTAAGTTACGGTAAAGTGAAGTTAGTTTTAAAACACAATCGATACTTTGTTGAAAGCATTTATCCAGTAAGAGCAACTATTTATATTTTCATTTATATTATTATTATTATTATTATTAATAGGACGTAATGCAGTCTTTATTAAAAGACGACGTCATTCAATCAACCAGGTTATTATATAGTATTATGTGGGCAGGGTCTAAATTAAAGACCACACCTCTTTAGGTTAATCCGATCAGAAGAAGAGGAAGCACTGATAGTAGAACAAGCAGCAACCAAAAAACAGCCGTTACAAGTAAGCCCCACCTACTAACCAGACCCCCTTATTATTCAATTTTAGTTTGGGGCCAAACCGCCTCCTGGGGGAGAGCCCGGACTCAGTAAAGAAGTAATTAATTTTGTTGGTCATCCATAAAAATTTTGATTGTCACCCGTCATAATTTTATGGCCCGTCCATTAAATTTTTAGGATAGTCAGGACTCAAATTTAGAGTCTACATCAGTTCCTAATGATATTTATGATTATCTTGAGAGAATGGACAGAGACGAGGAAGATCAGGATGAACAGGTCAGTAATCTCCAGTAGTCTCTAGTAAATTTTTGTATATTCCTGTAATCTCTGCATCACAGAAAGAAGTCCTCTCGTTTGAAATTGATCAAGAGCATTTGGAAATATTACAGAAGAGGTACATGTACATGTTTATCGTGTCATGTGACGTTAATTACATGTACATGTAGGTGTATAGAATTGGAGTATCCACTTTTGGCGGAATATGATTTTCGTAACGACACAGTCAATCCTGACATCAAGTGAATACATGTAGTACATTTTGAAATTTTATTTTTATTTATTTATTTAGTATTGATCTTAAACCCACTACTATTCTAAGACCATATCAAGTAATTATTGTCTATATAATACATATAATACTTTTATTATTATTATTATTATTATGATATTTTAGTTTTTTTTTTTTTGTTAGGAAAAAAGTTTAAGAAAGATGTTTGGTAATGGAAGAGCAAGATCTGGAGTAATAGTATTACCTTGTGGTAAGTGAAGAGACATTTGTACATCTTCCTTCCTCTGGTAATGTCTGTATAAACATGTACATGTACAATTGTACATGTATCTTTCTCTCTTTCTTTTCTCACTGTCTTCTTCTCTCATCAGGTGCTGGTAAGACACTGGTAGGAGTCACAGCTGCTTGTACAGTGAGGAAACGCTGCATGGTATTATGTACTTCAGGTAATAGAATTTTTAAAAATAAATAAAACTACTTTATCTGCTATTATAAAATACCGCATCTTGGTTTTTCCAACCACCTTTTTTTAAAAAATTAAAACTTATGCCTGTGCTTGTGGTCTACGAAAAAAAAAGTTTTTGGATAAAACCCGCTCGGAAGGTGGAATCGAACCACTGTGACGCTAATCACCTACAGGTCTGAAGCCTGCACACCACACCAGTGAAGCTCATCCGAGCAATAGTGGGAGAGAATAGTCTCCTTTTATACCTCATGATAGGGCAGCTGAAGTATATTTTAAATAGCAGCTGGTTTCAAGTTTTAAATATTTGATATTTACATTTGTACTACTATGCTTTTATATGTGTGTTTATTGCTGGAATGATTTTACTATTTTTTATTTTAATTGTTAGTCAATGAATATGGTTAACACTATCATGATAGTAGTGGTGACCATAGTAATAGTATTATGTGTTATTACATAATGCATGTACAGTACATATACAGTATAGTCTCTCTTAATGGACACTCTCTATAGCATACACCTCCATTTAATGGACAGCACCTAGTGTACCAATTACATTCCTTACTGTATAAAATAACCTCCACATAAAGGACACCTCTGTATAACAGAGACACTTTCTTGTCCCAAAGTGTCCATTACAAAAAGGCTAGTCTACCTACTATCACTCTTTCTTTCCTCTCTCTCCATTAGCTGTGGCAGTAGAACAGTGGTGGTCCCAGTTCAAGTTATGGTCCAATATTGATATGAGTGTGGTCTGTAGGTTCACATCTGATGCTAAAGACAAACCATCACGTAAGTCATGTGACATAATGACATTAAATGATCTCTGAATGTAAGTGATTAATCTGACATTAAGTGACTTCCTCTTAAAAAATTTACAGTTTTTTTAATTTACAGTTTCTTAAAAAACTGTAAATTTGGTTTAATGGTGTGAAATGCTAAATTGCTATGGTAAAGCCAGGTTTCATTATGTACTATCATAACTTCCTTTAGTCACGAAACTATAGAATATTCCAAGAGGTCATCAGGACTATCTTTCCCCAGGCTACTCTTGTTCTCGTTCATTCCAACTTCTTCATTTTCTTATCGTTTGTTCTTGCTCTATCTTTATTTACCGTCTTCTACCTTTATCTCTCTTCATTTTTTGTTCTTGCTTTATGTACACAATTTTTATTCTTTTCTTGAAATGGCAACCAAACCATCTTCATCTTCTTTTCCTGGTCTCCTCAAACTGGAGGAACAGCTCACCTGTCCTGTGTGTCTTCACCACTATACCAACCCTAAGACTTTACCTTGTCTACATTCATTCTGTGAGCACTGTCTGGAGGGATTACCTCTGGATAAGAAGAATGAGACCTATTACCTCTCTTGTCCTACTTGTCGTCATTGTACAGAGTTACCAGAAGAAGGTGCAGGAGCCTTTCCTGTAGCATTTCATGTAAACAACCTCAAAGAGATATACAGTCTAATGAAGAAAGTAGCTGATCCTCAACAGGTCACCTGTAACAACTGTACTACAGCTAATGCCACTGGATACTGCAAAGACTGTAGTCAATTCCTTTGTACAGAATGTATCTCTATGCACAAGAAATGGGCTCTTTTTGCTAACCATCAGGTGACAAGTCTTGATGAGGTGACAGCCTCTGATGTCTCTTCTACTTCTCAAATGCTAGCTCCAGCTAAACAGGAGGCACCTCTCATTTGTCCCATACCAAGTCATGATGAGCCATTGAAGTATTACTGTGACACATGTGATGAATCTATCTGTCGTGATTGTATCATGCTGGCTCATAAAGATCACAAGTATAACCTAATAGCTGATAGTTATACTAAACACAAAGAAGCACTGGAGAAATCTCTTAATCCGGTAAAAGGGAAAATTGAAGGACTCAAGAAGGTCCTGTCTGCTCTAGCAGAGAGAGAGGGTAAGATCAGAGAGAGAGGAGAAGGAGTCTTAGAAGAAATACATGAAATGGTAGAGGAAATGATGAATTCTCTTCGTCGGGCTGAGAAGAAACTGACTGAGCAGGCAAAGAGGGTCACTGATGCTAAACTAAAGGTGCTGTCAGAGCAAATGAAATCAGCAGAAATAAGTTTGAGTGTTCTGGAGGATGTTGAGGATTACGTGGAACAGAGTCTGAAGACAGGCAGTCCTCAACAAGTCCTGAGGTCTAAGAAACAGATGATGGAGCGTATGAGTGAAGTTACTGCAGGGATCAATGTGGAGGAGTTACATCCAAAGGAAAAAGTTGACTTTGTATTAAGTAAAGATTTTAAATCGCTACATGACATTGGAGATATTATCTCACTACAGCAGTGTAGAGTCAAGACCAGTGACCGTATTGCACTTGCTGGCAAAGCAATTTCATTTTCACTATCAATAGAGATACCACATTTACCTTTTTTGTGTGTTCCCCTCTCTTCTCTGAGGTGTAGTTTAGTACCAGTTGGTAAAGGTGATGAACCCATTGACACTACAGTCACTACCACTAGCACTGATCCTGGAGTGTATAGGATACAGTGTAACCCTTCAACACATGGTACTCATACAGTAAAAGTACAAGTATATGATGTACACCTTGAGGATACCTCACTATTCATCCCTTTCAATCCTTACCTTGATAACATCACTCCAGTACGTACTATAACTGAGCTTAAGGGTCCCTGGAGAGTTGCTGTTCATAATCATATTGTAGTAACTGAGAATGATGGTAACTGTGTAACAATACTGGATAGAGAAGGAAAGAAAGTGAAATCATTAGGAGGGGAAGGAGGAAGTGGTAATGTCAAGTTTTCTTCTCCTCGTGGTGTAGCCATTTTTTCAGACAATATCATTCTTGTATCTGATAATCACAGGATCCAGAAGATAAGCATGGATGGATACCTTATAGAATCAGTTGGTAAGTGGGGCAGTGGACCACTACAATTCAAGTATCCTGATGGTATAGCAGCAATTTCAGGACAGGTTTATATTGCTGATAGGGGTAATCATCGTATACAAGTCTTGAATCGTGATCTAACCTTCTCTCATTTACTTGGTAGTCAAGGACAGTTTCAGTATCCAACTGACATTGCTTTTTATGTATTAGTGTATGTTGTTGATACTGGTAATAATCGCATTCAGAAGTTCTCTCCAGATGGAAAGTTTGTGGGTCAGTTTGGTACTGAAGGATCTGGCCCTGGACAGCTTAATGGTCCATATAGTATAACAATAGACACTGAAGCTACTGGTCTAGTGTATGTTAGTGAATATGGCAATGATCGTATATCTGTCCTCACTAGTGGTTGTGAGTTTAGCAGTTTTGGAAGTAAAGGCAGTAATATTGATCAGTTTAATGGTAGGCCTATTGGATTAGCATTTGATAAAGATGGATTCTTGTATGTTTGTGATTGGAAGAACAACCGACTTGTTGTGTATTAGATTATGTTTCTTACTTAGAGGATTGATAATTAATGATAATGGATTCTTGTATGTTTGTGGTTTTCATATTAGCCAACTTGTTGTTTATTAGGTTAAATTTTTTATTATTTTATTAGTTTTAGTATTGATACGTGTGTACGTTAATGTTAATATTTTTAAATTTAATATTAAATTGAGGGGAGGAAGGGAATTAGCTATGATAATACCGGTAATTAGCTTATTTCTGTCTCTCTGTCTCTCCTCCCATCAGCTAACACCAGTATTGCTATCAGTACTTATTCAATGGTATCATACACTCAGAAGAGAGCATGGGACTCACAACAAGTACTGACACACATGATAGTCACATGATAGACACATGATAATCACATGGTAGTCACATGATGTCATTATTATATTGTTAGGTAATGGACTTCTTACAGAATAGAGAATGGGGATTGATGATATTAGATGGTAATTAATAATTACATCCATCATTTATTAATATTATTTTTTTTTATGCAGAAGTTCAGACTATTCCTGCAGATAAATTTAGACGTGTACTCTCAGGTAAGCCATTAACAAGGCCACACCCATTAACCATCCCCGTTCCCTCCAGCTGTACAGGCTCACTGTAAGTTAGGACTAACAGCTACTCTAGTGAGAGAAGACGATAAAATACAAGACCTTAATTTCCTGATTGGTCCTAAGCTGTACGAGGCTAATTGGATGGAGTTACAGAACCTCGGGTTTATAGCTAGGGTCCAGTGTGCAGAGGTGAGAGAGAGGAGGAGGAGAGAGAGGGAGAGGGAGAGTAATGGTTGTATGAGCAAGAGTATTTATAACTCAAGTTTTCGAGTTATGAGCATTTTTAAAAATTGGCCAAAATCTGAAAAAATCCCTGTACTATTATAGCCCATGGTTTTTTCTCCAAAAAATGGCTCCAAAATAATCTCAAATTTTTGTTACATTTTCTGATACATATTGATACTAGTAAAAAAGTCTATTAAAAATTGGTTTCTAAGTGCAAAACCACTCCATTTTTTATCATACATGTACTACACGTATATTTACTGATACCACTATGTTTTTATGTGAATGTATGTTTGTAGGTTTGGTGCCCAATGACTCCTGAGTTTTATGCTGAATATCTTCGAATTAAAACCAGAAAAAGAAAAGTAAGTGAACACAATTTAGACTATTTCTTACTACCAATAAATAAATTTTATTTTTATTTATTTTCCCTTTATTAGTTGCTGTATGTCATGAATCCAAACAAGTTCAGAATATGTCAATTTCTAATGAGATACCATGAGAGGTGTGGCACGAATTAATTAAAATAATTACTTAATTACCTATTCACGATTAATCACAGTTAATTAGTAGTACATTTCATCAATTATATTAATAATAATAATTATTATTATTATTAATTTATTTCTTAGGCGTAATGATAAGATAATGATATTTTCTGATATGGTTTTTCCCCTCCGTACTTATGCAATGAAGTTGGATAGACCATTCATTGATGGTCAGACTCCACAGAAGGAAAGAATGAAGATACTTAAAAACTTCAGACACAATCCTCAAGTTAATACAATATTTATATCTAAAGTAAATATTAATTATTGAAGTTATTAAAATTATTATTTATTAATTTTTGTAGGTTGGTGACAATTCATTTGATCTTCCTGATGCTAATGTACTCATACAAGTAAGTTATTAATAGTTATTAATAGTTATTAATAGTTATTATTATATTTTCTAGGTATCAGCTCATGGTGGTTCAAGACGTCAGGTACATTACTGATGATGTAATGTGATGTCATCATTAATGTTACTATTTATAGGAGGCACAAAGACTGGGCAGAATATTAAGAGCCAAGAAAGGTACTATATATGTACCAAGAATA